GTCCCTAAAATGCACAGAGAGCATTTTCAATTTCATCATACGTAATTGCATACGAAATGCATGGATCACGGAAATTGAGCAGCAGAAAAGCACTTTAAAATCAAAGAAAGCTGTGTTCGCAAGTGGCGATCAAAAAGAGAAAAGTCTTACAACTTTCTTTGAGTTTAATATTTTCCGTCTTTTTTTTCCTCAAAAACGTTCCTAAAACTCAGGGTGCGGCTTATCTAAGAGAGCGGCTTATACATGGGTAAATACGGTAATAAGAGGGGTATGGGGGCCCTCCCCCAGAAAATTTTGAAATAATAATAACTCTAAGAAATGTGATTTTCAGCATTTTGAGGGGCATTGAGAGCATATAGAAGGCATCAAATTTATGTGAAATTTTAATATTCGTGAATATTTCTTTTTCTACCTCCTGCTACGAAGAAGGGAATGGAAGAGCTGAATATTTTATTTGGTACTAAAAAAAGTCTGTACTACTACCCATGCTCGATATTTTTTTGGCCATATTGTTGTTGCACGATATTTTTTTAGGTTGATTTTTGGGATACAACCCACCCCCCTACAAGAATCAAATGGACCGTCCCTTATGTAGGTTTCTTACTCATTTATTTGTTTATTTACTTGTCTTTTTACTTGATCAGCCATTCATCTTTTTATTTATCGTCTCGCCTGTTCATCCCCATAGTTACTTTCAGTTTCATGTTCATCATTCTTCTTTCCTTTCCATTTCTTTCATTCATACATTCAACTCATAAAAAACGGAAACAAAAGTGTTAAAAAGCACGAGGGAAATCGGAAGTCCAAAATCGGATAGTCCAAAATCGGAAATCAGGAGTCGGAAATCAGAAGTCCGAAATCAGAAGTCCGAAATCAGAAGTCGCAAATCAGAAGTCGCAAATCAGAAGTCGCAAATCAGAAGTCGCAAATCAGAAGTCGCAAATCAGAAGTCGCAAATCAGAAGTCGCAAATCAGAAGGTCCTTCTCGGCCATCGTAACACACTTTTCAGTTTGATTTGTTGACTTGTGTTTCTCAGAGCTAGATTTTCGTAGAATTTGTAGTAATGCTGAGAAGTTTGGATTAAAATTTCTGTTCCCGCCATGTAAAACAAACTTATCACATACTGATGTCCTGTCTGCAGTAAGTAGCACTGTGAATGCTAATTTATGCAAATTAGTTTTTATRGGGCATTTTTACAAGTCTTCTCGTAGATAAGCTGCACCCCCGATTTGGGAACAATTTTTTTGGAAAAAAAGTGTGGCTTATACATGGGTAAATACGGTACGTACTACAAACCCACTTCACAAATTTATTGCTGCGTTTAGCATAAATTACAAGTCTTTTTACACAGAAAACTTGAAAAATGAYTATCTTCAGTTATTTTGCTTTGAGCTGAAGTAAAAATGATTGTCATTAAATGTAGAACTTGTGAAGTTAAGAGACACAGAAGGAACTAGCGAGTGAAAACTTTTGTAAACAAACTACCATTGTAGTGGCTTAACATTTGATAGTATTTTCTTAACGTAAAATAGTTGACTTCTTTGTATTCCCAGGTGTCGTTTRGTCAACCAGTTTTTTATTCTCAACATCAGAGCTCTTTAAAAAGCAGTTTTGATCACTATCCATAGCTTTTTTTTGTTCAAAACAAATCTGAAAACTTACYCAGACAAATATCACCTTCGGACAGGGGATATCGCCAAAAATGTACCACGTGACGGATGCATGTGAGAATATATTGTTGGAATATGATGGTGTATATTCAGTAAAGAAAGCAGATCAATACATTTTCTTGTACATGTAAACATATGTTTGCTTCAACAAAGCTTTTGGGATTCAGTGTCCATATACCTCAAATGGCTTCGGAGACTCATACAATCATGTTCTAAATGACTGTATTACTTACCTTCCAATTTTTCTTTCAGCCACCAATTCATCTTTTTGGTATTGAAGGACGTTACGCTCATGCTGTTTACTCTGCAGCAGCCAAACAAAAACAACTTGACAAAGTTGAAGCTGAACTTGACAGTGTGGATGTAAGTATAGTATTCTGGCCGCTTTTTGTGCTTATACATCAACGAAAAGATATCTTTTTGAACATATGAATTTTGCATTTTCTGATCCGCCATTATTTGAGAGCGTGCCGTCCAACTCATTACATATTCATAGAAGTGACGTCAGAGGCGCAATCGCGCCAAATTCAACAGGAGTTTGCGGTAATTTTCAACAAGAAGATGAACAGTCAGTCTTTTTCGCATTGTTTTATAGAGTTGAATATAGAAAGATCAKTTTGCGCCATATTGTTTCTCTTGTTGTCTCTGCTCCACGTGCGCCTCTGACGTCATACGTACAACCGCTGTTTCAAAAATCGCTTATTCATATTTAATGGCGGATGGGATTGTTGCTGTCTTTTATCATCAAAACTCAAATGGAAACAGAGCTTTTATGGATCAAACTTTGTTAATTTTTAGTATTATGGTTATTTCAACATTATTCCTGACATTTTCTCGTGTGTTTCAAATACCAAGCGTGCGTTTATCAGAGTATAAACCACGGCTGAGCCTTATTTATTTMTTAATTAGTAGTAGCACTTTAAATGCATAATATGCTGTATTCACAGTGTAGTTTGTTAGTATTTACATGAATATATATATTATATTGTATAATTGTATGAGGAAGTAGCTGATCCCATTAAAGAGTGCTCAATACACATAAAGTGTAGAGCTAGTTATATATATAATATCAAAGAGGCAAGATTTTGCTGTAACTCCGAGTTTCGTGCTACGCACTCATCAGACAGTATTTAATGATAAACATTCCTATAATCTAGATATATATACTCGGAGTTACAGCAAAATCTTGCCTCTTTGATATTATATATATATTATATTGTATACAGCCTTTTGCAAAAATTATGAGAATTGTCGAAATATCMAAATATCATAATATCGAGTGCATGATGGGTAATCCCACGAGATGCCCTTAGTCCCTTGTCTTTGTAGTTTAGTTTTTTTTGGCGACGGACTTATCCGTAGTTCTGAACATTTTTTCTCGATGTCAACAATGAATTATTCTAGCAAACCCGCGTGTTCCGGACAATATATGGATATGGATATTATGATATTTAGATATTTAGACAATTCTCATAATTTTTGCAAACGGCTGTATGTTTTTTTAACAGAAACTGATTAAAGGAAATGCCAAGTTGTCAGATTTTTTTATGAACCCCAGTACCAACAAAAAGCAAAAGCAAGGTAAACAATGTACAATTACACATGTTTTTCTTTGTCAATTGAAATTTTAGGTTTGCGTTAGCTCTAAACTGTTACACAGTGATCGCTAAAAGTGTGAAATAGTTTAAATTTAAATAGTGCTACTAAATTATTTTAATCCCTTACGTTTTATATTTTCCAAAAGAATACTACATATTATATTTAGTGCTATCGAGCACTATTAGGTTAGTACTGTTTAAATGTTCCCACTCTGAGCATCCTCTGGTTTCTTTG